CATTTTAGGAACATTTATTCTCATTTAACCTCTTACAGCAGATATTCTAATCCTAGAAATGCTGGTCTGTGACCATAATACAAATTATTATTATTCCAGTCCTAGAAAGAAAACAGAACTTTAACCAACAATTTCTAACTGAATAATTTTGCTAAGAACTGTCATCACCCCAAGTATCCAATATGAAGTTAAAGATCTTAAGAGAAGAACAGAACCTACTCTGATTTTTATTTTGCAAATGCTTACAATTGTCAGTGCCTCCCACCTACAAATGGGTCTTAGTGTTTGGAGATTGCATCCCAAAAATATTGTAATTCCCATTATTTGAGCAGGTCACCTCCTACCTGCTGAATCTTACAGATGGGACAGGGTGTATAGGTTAGAGAAAGAAAAAAAGAAAATCCCGGAAGCAGATAATTGTAAACCATGTTCTTATTGTAAATGATAGATAGATAGATAGATAGATAGATAGATAGATAGATAGATAGATAGATAGATACATATAGGGATAGATAGATAGATAGATAGATAGATAGATAGATAGATAGATAGATAGATAGATAGATAGATAGATATAGATAGAAGATAGATAGATAGATAGAAAGATAGATAGATAGATAGAAGATAGATAGATAGATAGATAGATAGATAGAAGATAGATAGATAGATAGATAGATAGATAGATAGATAGATAGATAGATAGACCATAAATATATATTCACATCATATGTCACCATGTTCAGTCCCTAGTTATCTCATGTAAAGCTAAGCAGGATCAACTCTATCAATACTCAATGCTGGAAGGTAGATTAGGAAGAAACCCCCCCAGAAACCCCACATAGTAATAGCAAACTACTTGGTGATTATTTCCACAATGTACCTTTGTTACCATTAAAGTGTCAGTAGTTTCTCTCGCCATTAAGGAATGCTTCTGAAGTAACGCTTCTTCCAAGAAGGAAAAAAGCATGTGATTGTAGCAAAACCAGAAAATGTTAGACAGACCCAGGTTTCAAAGCCAGATTGTTACTAATCAACTTAACCTTCTCCACATCTTCCATGTGTGGTGAGGCTGCAAGCCTTTTTTTAAAAGTAGCTGTTCCAATAGGAAAAGGGGGAGAGAGAATTCCCAGTTCCAGTGGAGAACTCCTCTAGGTTATATGGATTGCATGAAAGAGAGAGCAGGGTATGAACCCCCTGTACTATTGCTGCTAATCAGGATAGCAGAGCTGAAGGCTACAAGAATAATCAGCTTCCCTGGTAAAGCAGTTCAAGGAAGGATCTGGCACTTGTATATTTCTGTCTTATGTTAATAAAATATCAGCAGCCCATCTAAGTCTAGAGCAGCGGTTCTCAACCTATGGGTCGGGACCCCATTTGGGGTCGATCGACCATTTCACGGTCACCAAGCAAGGCTGTCCGCCATTTTTTTCCTCCTTTTCTGGCGGGTGCCTTACCTCCCTTGGGCTGGGCCAGCTAGTGGCCCAGCCGGTGGTCAGCCTGCTCCATCTCTGCCGCTTGCCAGCTACATCTCGGCTGGCGCAGGGGGCGGCACCACGCATGTGTGGTGCTCCCGGGCAGGGAAAGTCCTCGACTTATGACCAGTTGGGTAGTTCTTGACTTACGACTGGTTTAATCCTCGACTTATGACCGGTTGGGGGTCGCGGCATTAAAAAGGTTGAGAACCACTGGTCTAGAGGGTATCTCTCCACTTGAGTTTTGGAATAACTGTTGTGGAAAATTCAGAAGAACAGAGCAAAACCCATGTGAGGATGAGAAACCATGTTTATTGCAGTGATCATATCAAGAAAGAAAAACTCTGAACAGTGGGTTTACTGAATGGCAGAATGCATCCAATGATAAAAACTCTCAGGGAAGCTTTTAAAAAAATGATGCCTCCATAGAGGGCCATGTGTTTCACTGCTTTTAGCTCTGGGGTGAATTTGCTGGCATCTCCCCACCCTCCTCTTAGTCTAGTTACATCTCTTTCACCTGCTTTTCATTGTGAAATGACTGGCATATTTAATTTCATGATAATTGTAATCTATGTCCCAATATTAAAATCTTTTAAAACTACTGTTAGCTGCCTTAAAAATTTGCCAAAATAGTAAGACAAGATATAAATTAAACTGTTAAATAATAAATTATATTATAATTCCCTGTGTGAAATTATTAATGCTTTGTAAAAAGTTGGCTACAATTGCAGGACATCAAAAATAAAAATGATAAACAAAATGGAATAACCCTATTCAAAATGTGAGGTAGAAATTAGAATAATCAAATGAAATCCTAGTTAGATATTTAATCATCGTAGCCTGTTGGAACATAGCACTGCTTTAATCCTACAATGCCCACTGAAATTAGAATAAATTAATTTAAGTTAATTTAGTGCAGTTCAGCAGAAATTGCGTGCTTTGCATACAGAAGTCTCAGGTTCAAATCTCAACACTGCTGGGAAAAGTCTGTGCTATCTGTTGGTTTTCAGTCAGAGGTCTGCCAGGAGTCTTACTGTGTTAGCACAGCTGCAGTATTGTAGTATTGCAGTACGTATTGTATGTAATAAAAGTGCAGTGTGCAGAGGTTGGTATAATATGTGAGTGTGCTGAATGAAAATCAGATCTTTAATTCCATATTAAAATAATCTGGAAGGTATAATGGGGAAGTCTGATTTTGGGAATCCAAAGGGAGAGTAGACGTTTACACATGCAAACATATATATTAGCACAGAGGTCATCAACCTTTCTCAGTTGGTGAACTGGAAGGAAAGGGAAGGGGGAAGCAGTTTATATGCATGCATGGGGCCATGAGCATGCACGTGATGCAAACAGGGTGGGGCTAGTGCTTGCTTGATACTCGCTAGCCCTGTCCTGTTCTTGCATGGTACAGCCCTGTCCGTTTTTGCACCCACAGCACGGTGTCGGCATCCCGTTCTCCCTGAGGCGCAGCGGTGTCCCATTTTCACGCCCTGCAGTGTGGTGGCATTCCATGGCAAGGCGGCATCCCATTTTTGCACCCACAGCACGGCGGCATCCCATTTTCCCCCTGAGGTGCAACAGCATCCTGTTTTTGCACCTCATAGTGCAGTGGCAGCCCATTTTCACATGCCACAATTGCGGCACTACAGTGAGTGCCGCAGCCCACAGGTTGGGGACCCCTGTATTAGCAGGTGGGAGTTGTGGCTAGGGTATCCTTTGTGCACCTTTGTACTGTGCATCAGTTGCACTCATTCCTGGCCTGCTCACAGTCACTCATGCCCTCATGACCCTCTGTCTAGATTACTGCAATGCACTCTACATGGGGTTGCCCTTGAAGAATATTTGGGAACTTCAACTGGTGCAGAATAGAACAGGTAGTAAATGGTGTCTGTTGTTCAACACATGTAGCACCACTGCTTCATGATCTGCATTGGTTGTCAGTGCGTTTCTGAGTGCAATTTAAATGCTGGTTGTCACCTTTAAGGCCCTTTGTGGCTTGGAACTGAGTTATCTGAGATATTATCTTCTCCAGGTTTCTTTTCATCCAGTCTGGTCCACTAGGGTGGGCATGCTTGTGTCCTATCAACCAAGGAATGTCAGCTGCCAAGGAATGGGAGTTATGCCCTTCCTGCGATTGTTCCTTCCCCTTGGAACATCCTTCCTCCTGAGATTAATTGGTTGTTACCCTGATGGCCATTCCTAAGGCCCTGAAGACCTGGTTATGTACTCAGGTTATGGATCCTGAGTATATTAATAGCCTTGTTCAGTGGTGGGATTCAAATATATAAACAACCAGTTCTCTGCATGGATGCCACTTCCGGAAGTCCATTCTGGGCCTGGGCAACAAAAAATTAGCTACCGGTTTTCCCGAACTGTTGTGAATTGGCTGAATCCCAGCACTGGCCTTGTTTCCCAGTTTGCACTTTTTTTTTGTACTGTGTTTGTATTTGGTTTAAGTTGATTTTCTGATGGTTCACTGTCCAGAGTCGCTTGTTTGAGAGGGCAGCCATAGACATGCAATAAACAAAATACATAAATGAACAGACCCTGTAGGAGGAGAGCCAGGTTAGCAAAGTATGGTAACGAAGTTTACATGAGCAATTGCAGCTCAGAAAAGCTGATGCCTTCTCATAGAACTTGTATGTCGGAAAAGGTGCTGACAGGTTCTCCCTGAGCTTTCGCACCCACGCGGACAGAACACATGGACATGGGTTCCAGAATTTGTTGCTTTCGCTAGCAAGTGCCCCTATGTCTTGTTCTGGCTGTCAACCTTGATAAGCTGGACGTGTAGCACAGTGGTCAGACTCTATTTCAGTGGTTCTCAACCTTTTTAATGCCACGACCCCCAACCGGTCTTAAGTCGAGGACTACCCAACCGGTCTTAAGTCGAGGACTACCCAACTGGTCGTAAGTCAAGGACTTTCCCTGCCCGGGAGCGACGCACATGCATGGTGCCGCCCCCTGCGCCAACCGAGGCATAGCTGGCAAGCGGCAGAGACGGCGTAGGGCGACCACTGGCTGGGCCACCAGCTGGCCCAGCCCAAGGGAAGTAAGGCGCCCACCGGGCCCCACGCACTCCAGCAACCCTCCCTGCGCCCCCAGCCTCCCACCTCCCACCCCTGGCCCTCTTTTACTTACATTTTTAGTAGTTGCTCGCCTTCGCTGCAGACAACTTGCAGCACCGTTTGCAGAATGTGACTTTTGGTGGGCTCAGCAGGGCAGAGACAGCCTGCACAATTCCTATTGGCTTTTGAAAGTCAATAGAATTAGACTCTATTCAAGAGAGTCTATTCTATTGGCTTTCAAAAGCCAATAGAATAAAAGGGAGTAGCACAGCTAAGGAAAAGGGGAAAAAATGGCGGACTGTGTTGTTTGGCGACCCCCGTGAAATGGTCATTCGACCCCAAATGGGGTCCTGACCACAGGTTGAGAACCGCTGCTCTATTTGGTTCTTGTATTCATTGGGGAGTGGGGGGGGCAGATGGGGAGTGGGAGCTTCTCTAACCGTCCCCTCCCTTGGTTTTACAGGCAGTGGGCAAATCCAGCTATGGCAATTCCTCCTGGAGCTGCTTTCGGACCGGGCCAACCTCAACTGCATTGCCTGGGAGGGCACCAACGGCGAATTCAAACTGCTCGATCCTGATGAGGTGGCTCGGCGCTGGGGCGAACGCAAGAGCAAACCTAACATGAACTATGACAAGTTGAGCAGGGCCCTGCGCTACTATTATGACAAGAACATCATGACCAAGGTTCATGGCAAGCGCTACGCCTACAAGTTTGACTTCCAAGGCTTGGCCCAGGTCTGCCAGCCAGCCACCCCTGACCACACCTTGTACAAATTCCAGGCACCCCTTCCCTTCTCTGGCATCTCCAAACTCAACTTCATGGCTTCGGGAGTGACCCCAGCCAGTTTCTCCTACTGGCCGAGCTCTGCCCCTGCCCTGTACCCCAGCCATGGCTTGCAGGCTTCAACGCCCTTCAGCACCATGGCAACATCTCATATCAACAATATGAATGGCCATTACCACTAGACTTCATGTGGTTGCATGGGGTATGGTGAGGAGCTGGGAGAATAAAGTTTGACCACTAAATTTCAGCCTAAGATATTTCCAGTGCAGAAAAAGGAATATTTATCAGGTTCACCCGCTGTGCTAAAACACAAGGTGGTTTGCCTGATTTTGGTTTCATGTAATACATGAAACCAACTAGCTATGGTTTGTACCATAGTACAATGTATCAATCCAGCCACTCCAACCCACTCAATAACGACAATGAAACAGGCCATGGGTTAGGGCTAGGCAGATGGCTGGATCTAGCTATTTTGTAAAGTGGAAAGAGAAACTTTATTGAGACAGGCTGGATCTCAGCACAGGAATTGGGTCCATCCAGAGCCATTTTGGAATGGAGTCTCACCCCAATGAATCCATATTTTCCAGGGAACATTTAAGTAATTTCCCTATTTTTTTCATTTACTAAAACCCACAATGCATTGGAGTGATTCTGACACTCTCTTGTACTTGGAACTTTTGGAACTGTGAAAATGTGTACAGCCCCTCCCCCCTTGCAAAGTTACATACATGCAATCACACTTCCTAAGAGACTGATGGAGAAAACTTAGCACCAGCAAGGTATTTTACTCTGAGACAGATTGGTGACAGTGTTATCTATTTTAGCCTGAATATCTCTGGGTAAAATGGGCAAAGCTATCTCTGACCATGCTATTATAATCCACACAGATAATACACAGTACTCTCAGTCGAGCATATACCATAACTTGGCTTTCAGTTGAATCAGAGCAAGAGATCTACCAAACATTGGTCTGGAGGTCAATGTCTTTTTACAAAATTCAAATTACATGAATGTTTTTGATTTTCTCAACCCAGCTCAATTTCTAAACAATAACCAGTTCTTTAGGGTCTGCAGTTGTGTAGAAGGGAAGAACATGCCCTACATCAGGAGCATCATGCAGAGCCCGTGCCCACCCCAGCTCCAGCAATGAGAAAAACATGATATGTTGTGACACATCATGTGATGTGGCGAATTTGACATCTGTGCCCTACAGGGTTATAACTAGAATGATCTACCTTCCTTCTCAACAAACAAACAAAAGATGTCCTATTAAACAGTGCTTTCCCAGGTGGGACTTCATGGGATTTTATTTAATAAAAAAATAATCCTACGTTGGCAAGAATGTCCATTTGAATTATAAACATCTTGCCTTTACTTTTTGTTCTAAGTGAATCTCAGTCAGAAATTTGAAAGGGTTAGACAGCTTTAAGTATGAAAAGGTTGGTGGTTGGCAATTTCCTATCAGATCCCAAAAAGTCAAATTAAGGCTCCCGGTTCTTCACATGTTCATTTTTTTTAATGCTAGAGATATGATTTTTTTTTTGTAAATTGATCTGGTTCCTTGGACATTATTATTCAAACTGTGATCTTGTTGGGGTTTTTTTGCCTTCTGGCTTTGGATTATGACCTTCGCCTTCATAACACCATCTCCACTGCTTCCATTTTTAGGTTGATGGGCATTTATATATTCACACTGTTTCCCGTGATGTAAGATAAAAACACTGTTCCAGGTTTCTGTGTGTGTATATATATATATATATATGTGTGTGTGTGTGTGTGTGTGTGTGTGTGTGTGTGTGTGTTTGTGTGTGTGTGTGTGTGTTGGATGGTTGAGGAGAAATTACATTAAAAGATCTACTCTGAATCATTTAGAGATTAAATTGCAATCATAGCCATGAATTTACACAGTACCTGTCATTCCTTTTAAAAAAAAAACTCAGTTCAAAAAAAGCAGAACGGTAGTGATATTTTTTTATAAATAACACCAGTGTGATATTAAATACAGGTCAAGGGAACATTGCACTCATTTCACATGCTAGTAAAGTTATGCTTAAAATTCTACAAGCTAGACTCCAGCAGTATGTGGATCGAGAACTACCAGAAGTACAGGCAGGATTTCGAAGAGGCAGAGGAACTAGAGATCAAATTGCCAACATACGCTGGATCATGGAGAAAGCTAGGGAGTTCCAGAAAAACATCTACTTCTGCTTCATTGACTATGCAAAAGCCTTTGATTGTGTGGATCACAACAAATTGTGGCAAGTTCTTAAAGAGATGGGAGTACCAGACCATCTCATTTGTCTCTTGAGAAACCTATATGCGAGTCAAGAAGCAACAGTGAGAACTGGACACGGAACCACTGATTGGTTCAAAATTGGAAAAGGAGTCCGGCAAGGCTGTATACTGTCGCCCTGCCTATTTAACTTATATGCAGAGCACATCATGAGAAAGGCAGGGCTAGATGAATCAAAAGTTGGAATTAAGATTGCCGGGAGAAATATCAACAACCTAAGATATGCAGATGATACCACTCTAATGGCAGAAAGTGAAGAGGAACTAAAGAGCCGCTTGATGCGGGTAAGAAGGAGAGTGCAAAAGTTGGCTTGAAACTCAACATTAAGAAAACCAAAATCATGGCATCCGGCCCTCTCAATTCCTGGCAAATAGATGGGGAAGAAATGGAGGTAGTGACAGATTTTATTTTTCTGGGCTCCAAGATCACCTCAAATGGGGACTGCAGCCAAGAAATTAAAAGACACTTGCTCCTGGGGAGGAAAGCTATGGCAAATCTAGACAGCATACTAAAAAGCAGAGAGATCACCCTGCCAACAAAAGTCCGTATGTCCAGGCCATGGTTTTCCCAGTTGCAATGTATGGCTGTGAAAATTGGACCATAAGAAAGGCTGAGCACCAAAGAATTGAGGCCTTTGAACTATGGTGCTGGAGAAGACTCCTGCGAGTCCCTTGGACTGCAAGGCGTTCAAACCGGTCAGTCCTAGAAGAGATCAACCCTGACTGCTCTTTAGAAGGCCAGATCCTGAAGTTGAAACTCAAATACTTTGGCCACCTAATGAGAAGGAAGGACTCACTGGAGAAGGGCCTAATGCTGGGAAAGATTGAGGGCAATAGAAGAAGGGGACGACAGAGAATGAGATGGCTGGATGGAGTCACTGAAGCAGTAGGTGTGAACTTAAATGGACTCCAGAAGATGGTAGAGGACAGGAAGACCTGGAGGAACGTTGTCCATGGGGTCGCGATGGGTCGGACATGACTTCGCAATTAACAACAACAAAAAGGGAACAGAAGAATTCTCTTTGTGAATGCCTGCCCCCACACACCATTCCCCAGTACAAAATAGTATTGTCACGGTTCCAACAGATGAAACTCTTTAAAAGAACTTTGAGGCATTGTTTACCTTAAAGAATCTTTTATTCGAGAAACAAAATATTGGCACTACATTGTTGTTGTTGTTGTTAGTTGCGAAGTCGTGTCTGACCCATCGCGAACTCATGGACAATGTTCTTCCAGGCCTTCCTGTCCTCTACCACCTTCTGGAGTCCATTTAAGCTCACGCCTATTTCTTCAGTGACTCCATCCAGCCACCTCATTCTCTGTCGTCCCCTTCTTCTATTGCCCTCAATCTTTCCCAGCATTAAGCTCGTCTCCAGTGAGTCCTTCCTTCTCATTAGGTGGCCAAAGTATTTGAGTTTCAACTTCAGGATCTGGCCTTCTAAAGAACAGTCAGGTTGATCTCTTCTAGGACTGACCGGTTTGAACACCTTTCAGTCCAAGGGACTCGCAGGAGTCTTCTCCAGCATCATAGTTCAAAGGCCTCAATTCTTTGTTGCTCAGCCTTTCTTATGGTCCAACTTTCACATCCATACATTGCAACTGGGAAAACCATGGCCTTGACTATACACACTTTTGTTGGCAGGGTGGTTAAAACCAAAAACTGAATTCCCCTCCCCTAGGCACAAAGTAGCAAAGCACAATTCCCTCCTCCAGCTAACAGTCATAAATCACATTCCCCAATTAGCTTGAAGCTTGGGCTTTCTCCCCAGCTCTCCAGCCCTGCCAAATCTTTATGAACTCTAGGCGCAATAACCTTGATTCCCATGGCTGAGTTATTGTTGTTATGACTAACTGGACTCTCATCCACATCCCCCCTCCCAGCATCATCTGACTCTAAAAGCGAAAGGGAAAAGATGGCTACATTTCCATCTTTTGTTAAAGCAAGAACATCCAATGTTAGCAGCGGTGACAAGTACTGGATATAAGTCCCACTCCCATGAATGAAATTACATTTATTTCTGCTTTGGTTTTGCTTGATCTTACTGTGCCACCTGCAGGACCACAACAGAGAAGCAGCTGGGCAAGCGCCTTCAAAGGGCTACTTCCTTACTTCTGCCATGGGGCTTCCCTTTGAGGTCATTAGGAGAGGGGCAGATGCTAAGAAAGTCAAGGAAGAGTCCTCTTGCTTTTTATAGCAGGCCAGGGAATGGGCTGAAAGGAGAAAGAAAACCGGGACCAGGAGCCTTTGGGAATTAACACTGGCCCTTGTTGATTATTAGACAATGTCAAACCGGCCTCCAAAACACATGGTAGAGGCTTTCATCTTTCTCACAGCTGAAATGCTTCCCTCAGCAGGCTCAACAGTATCTCTTAACTGCACTACCAGTTAGCTCAGTGGTTCTCAACCTGTGGGTCGGGACCCCATTTGGGGTCGAACAACCATTTCACAGGGGTCGCCAAACAATGCAGTCTGCCATTTTTTTCCCCTTTTCCTTAGCTGTGCTACTCCCTTTTATTCTATTGGCTTTTGAAAGCCAATAGAATAGACTCTCTTGAATATAATCTAATTCTATTGGCTTTCAAAAGCCAATAGGAATTGTCCAGGCTGTCTCTGCCCTGCTAAGCCCGCCAAAAGTCCCATTCTGCTGCACCAGCTGAGTAGTCCTCGACTTACAACCGGTTGAGTAATCCTCGACTTACGACCGGTTGGGGGTCGCAGCATTAAAAAGGTTGAGAACCACTGAGTTAGCTTATACTCTTGAGCATTTTCTCATTACCATTTCCAAGTTAGAGCTCCTTCCCAGGCTTTTCGGCTCAGGCAGAGGGTGTCAGAATCTGACTTCTGCCTCCATTCCCAAGAAGTAATTTCCTTCTGAATATCCAGAGTAAGAAGCCCTGTTTTGAAAGAAGACGATGTTCTTAGAACTTTAATGGTTAAGTAGATTAAAAGAAGACATCCCTGCGGGCTTAAGTAGCTTGCCATCCTCATCTACATGCCTATCCAAAATATAGGACCCCGTGTCTCCTGATTTTTTGTAAATAATCGAGTGCCAGAGTCAATTTCACAACCCTTTGAATGAGCCTTGTTCCATACCATATGGTGGGATTCATCTACTGCTTATCTAACCTCGCTTGGACCCATTTGGATCCCTTGTAACTTGTCTGACCCTTCCTTGCTGCTTCTGTTTGCCCGTCATCTCCTCTATAGGATTCCCCAGACGCAACTCTGCAGTGATGGTGCCTTGAATTTACCATGGTCTTCTCTCTTCATTTACCATACTGTGACTTCCAGCATGTTTGATAACTTCTCCAGTGGACACTTTTCCACAATCACACTGGTGATTGGGAGTTGGAATCTCTTTCCTTTCTGGCAATCCTTGGAAGGCAATGCAGAAATCCATCTACCTCAGCATTTTGGGGTTCAAAACTGGCAAGCAGTCTGTACCATTTTTTTTTAATGTTTTCATACAGGTTCCAGTTGCTCTAAACCAGAAGGCATTCTTCTAGGGAAGCAATGTTGGGGGTGTTTTATTCATGTTTGGAAGCAAGAACAATTAAACCATGTATTTCACAGGTTCCTTCTTTAGCTTGCCACCACCAACACCTTAAACTGCTTCCCCTCGCTTTTTAAATGTTTGTTGAAGTTTGCCATGCCGGTAGGTTTACTTGGGTTCAGAATGGTTTGTGTATTGCCAAACATTTTGATTGTCCAGCAGGGAGCAGTAGTGCCACATCGCTATCCTCCTCCTTTTCTCTCCTCCCCCAAGATATTATTAAATTGTGACAAATTCCGGATAGTAGCATCTCTGCATCATCTTAAAAAAAAAAAAAAGTTAAAGAATGTGGATCTATCATTAAAAATAAACCTGGTGGATCAGCAGGAATGAAGATCATTCAAAGATTAAAAGGATCCAATCTGAGTGTGCGTAATGGGCTGGGAGAATAATTTTGAGGAAGAGGAAGAATGGCATTTGAGCAAGCATCTCAGAGTTGACCCTTCCTGGCTCTCTTTGGGATCCAGGCAGGGAGGGGAGAGGTATATCCAGAGTTGCAAGATTCTGATACTGTAATCCTATAATAAATGTAGTTTTAGTATTCGTGATTTTGATGTTCAACTCTGGTTTGCATCAATGAGTTGATGTCAGTCTTGCAAGTCTGAATGTGCCTCCCCTCTCCCTGCCTTTATCCTAAAGAGAACTATGGATGGTCAAGTCTGAGATGCTTTCTCAAATAGAAATCAATCAATCAATCAATCAAATACATAAATTCTGTTCTTCCTCTTCCTCCAGGTTATTCTCATAAACCATTATAGTATGATTCTATGGCCCTACTGATGGGAGGCTGCTATAATACTATTCAAAGATGATTCTAGTTTGGTCCTAAATGATTTTTCCCCCTGTAGGTATGTGTTGAATCAGAATTAGAAATAGAAGATGACA